ATAATAAATATATAATATTATAAATATATAATATATAATATAAATATAAAATATATATAATAAATAATTAATATATAATATATATACAATAAATATATATATATATATATATATATATATATATATATAAGATTTAAATTGAATAAAAATTATTTGAAGAAATAAAGCATCCTAAAAAACCCGATTAAATTATTAACAATTCTTCTACAAAAAAAAAAAAAAAATAAAAAAAAGAATATAAATCTCTATAAGAAAATAAATAGTTGTATAAAATACGTTTAATGAAATATTGTATAATTACGAAACAACGTGAATATTCGTCTATTGAATTATATTTTATTTTATTTTTTTTTCATCTTCTTTTTAACTTTCTTTAATTAAATATCAATTTTAATTTCTTATTGAAATTTTTTTTTTTTTTTTAACGATAAGAGAATCACTTTAGACATTTTTCTCTGTTTCAAATTCTCATCATAGCTTTCAGTTGAATCGATGAAATTATCCATTTGATTGAAAACATAGTTTTATGAAGTAATCGAGCAACCAACACTGCGAAGAAGAAGAAGAAGAAGAAGAAGAAGAAGCCCTTTATTATTAACTAACCACATTTTGCATAACATTTTCGTGGCCGCTTCAGGTCGATGACTTCTTCACGAGCTCTCTCAAATACGCTCGTTGCATACTCTCCAAAAAGGAAAAGGAAGAGAGAAAGAGAGATAGAGAGAAAGAGAGATAGAGAGATAGAGAGATAGAGAGAAAGAGAGAAAGAGAAAGAGAACTTTCTCGATGTTTCATTGGTAACTCCACGATGCGAGAATCCGATCGAGGTAAGCAGCTACTACTTGAAAATGGAAAGAGGTTAGAATTTCAAATTGTCTGATCTGATCGAGTTTTCTTTCGTGCATTTTTTTTTTTTCCTTTACTTTCCTTTTTTTTTTTTTTACCGTTCGTTACTTCCTGATTTTTTTCCCCCTTTTTTTTTTTTTTTTTGTACAAATTTCATTTCATTTCATTGTCAGAGTCAATTGGCATGACTCAAACAAAAAAAGTCTGATTTTTGACCTTTTTTTTTTTTTAACTGTTTTTGGATCAAAAATGGGAATTTTTGCAAATTTTTGT